AAATAAAAATTTTTTAAAAAATTAAAAAATATGATTGTGGGTGGCTCTTGTTTATTCTCTACTTTTTCATTTTCTACAATGCATATGTTTCTAAAGTTTGAAGAGAAAAAGATGACCTTTTAAAATCTGCATGAAGTCTCCATTGCTTGTAGAATAAAGGTAGTTGTCCATGCCTCAAAAAAACGTAACATTTAAGTTTAAAGTTTGTGTGAAAAAGTTTCTTTTAGGAGAGCTTTTGCTACACTTCACAATTTAACTGAGGCAATTCTACAGAGAAGACTTTTGAACCTGGGGTAAAACAGACATGAGTTTGATTAATATTTTGTGGCTGAATGTTTTGAAAATGTAGTCAGCCTTTCCAAATCTTAGTTTCCTTATCTATAATAAAATAGGAGAAAATACCTCTTAAGTGTTACTGTGAAAATAAAATGTGTTTAAGAATATAAAGTACTTCGTACTATGTACTTATGCCAAAAGTACTTACTGTTCTGTCTCAACTCCAATTTATGGGTGAGAAAGGGAGCTATGATAAAAGGGGTCAATGGTTTTATTAAAGGTGAGTTTTAGCTATTAGATTTTTGGGCTTTTCTCTTTCATGTACAGAAGAAGTTCAATCTTGAAGAGAACAGGAATGAAAAAAATTTAAATGATGTGACAAAAGAATAAATAACATATGAATATACTTTTAATAAGAGGAGATTGATATATAGATAGGTATATACAGATAAATATACATATACAGGTATATTCAAACTGCCCACCAACCCAAAGGTAAGTGACTGGAATCCAACCACACTGCTCCCTAGTAAAAAGAAATCTCTTGGGCAATTTATAGCTTCCCACAGGAAGGTCAGCTATAAGCCAGTTCCAACTTGATGGTAGTGAGCTTAAGGTTATACAATCTTTTACATTAAGAAAAAAAAATATTTTTTATGTATATATATATATACACAAAGACCAATGTGTTCACATATACATACATACACACACGTATATGTGTATGTATATGTATATGTATATGTATATGTATATGTATATGTATGTGTATGTGTATATGTATGTGTATGTGTATATGTATATAAACACACAGACCAAAGCGCATAGGTGTTTACTAGAGAATGGAGGGGGAGGGGGAACACCTTCAAAATAATCAAACCCACTGTTGTCAGATTCTGACTCATAGTGACCTTTTAAGGACATAGTTGAATTGCCCCATAGTTTCCAAAGCTATAAACCTTGATAAGAGCTGACTGACTGACTCATCTTTCTCCTAAAGAATGGTTGGTGGGTTCAAACTGCCCCCAGGACACCACCAGGGCTCCCACCCTGACACCAGAATGATCTGGCTACCATTACTGACAATTCTGATCAGGGTCAAAGAAGGAGGGCGCTGACAGACTGGGTGAAAGAGATCTCAAATTCTTAAAAAGTCTACACTTACTGGACTGGTTGAGACCAGAGGACTTCTGGAGATTATCACTGTAGATTTCAGTTAAACCTTAAACCAAAATTATTTGAGGCCATCTTTTAGGTAAATAACAGGCTCATAAAGCTGAATATCACTTGTGAATAATGAGCTCCTTTTAGACCACATGGTAAAAATTACTTGAAAGCAAATATATATGTGTAGCTATACAAACACATATACAGGCATATATGTGTATGCGTATTTTAAGTGGGTACAAAGAAAGAGAGGGCAGGGAAACTAGAATAATGGAAACTGTACAACCAGAAAGAATGGCTAAGAATGATGACACAGTGTGAAACATGTAACCAATATTGCTGAAGAGTCTGTGTAGAAAGTATTAAATGGAAATATTTTTGCTGCATAACTTTCAGTTGAACACATTATTTTGGAGACAGAGTGCATGGAGTTGTAGCGGCACAGTCCAAGGAAGTCACAGTGCTAGTCCAAATGCAGTGTCTTTCTGGCAGTTTGAATCCACTAGCAGCTTCACAAGAGAAAAACAAGCAATCCCCTCCCACGTAATTTACAGCCTCCAAAGACCCACTGAAAAATCACCTATGAGTTGGTTCTGGTTCCACAGCAATGAACTGAGTTGAGATTATTAAAAAAAAAAAAAGACTGAGAAAATAGGTCCTACTTACCATTTCAGAAAAACTGAGAAACTATAATAATATGAGCTCCATTTTCATCTCCTACTATCTATGATTTCTTATATTGGAAAAAGGTTTTTGGTTTTTTTTACCTAATTGCTTCTCTTTGAGAGCAATCAAGAATAGGAAAGCCCTCCTCTTCCAGTGCTGTACCCTCAATGAAATAGAATTAGAAGTAGTGGTCCAGGCGAGCTCTGGTGGCCTAGTGGCAGGAAACTGCACTGCAATCCCAGAGGTGTGCGGTTCAAATCCACCAGATGCTCTGCTGAAGAAGGAGGAACAATCGCCTCCTGTACCAGTCAGATCCGATTTGACGGTACACACATTAAAGAAAAAAAAAAAGTAGTGGTCTGAATCTGCTGGTGGCTCCATGGGAGAAAGACAGGCAATTCACAACCTTAGAATCTACCAGAAAGTTAGCCATGAATCAGTTCCAACTTAACAGCAATGAGTATGTTAGAAGTCTAATGCTCTATTCCAAGACATGAAGCAAGAAACAGACGGACAATCATAAAGATAGAAAACTGGGCTTAGACTCTGGTGTCTGTGGGCAAGTAAGAGAAATCATTCAGCCTCAAGTTCAATTACAACTCTACCACTTAAAAGCTGGGCAAGTAACCTCTAAGCTTTAGTTTTCTTATCTGTAAAGTAGAACTAAAACTAGTAAGTACCTCAAGAGTTCTTTCTCAAGGTGGTTAAAGAGATAAAGATTTAACACAAAGCCAAGAACAAAACATTAGTTATTATTTTAAATTGCATTACAACTATTACAAGTGCACATTCCAAGGCCTAACTGTATTTAAGATGACTTAATGCCAGAATCCATGGTGTTACTATAGTGAATATTTTTCTTTTCCTTAACAATACAATGATCCATCCACTCTCTGGATTTGTTCAACCAAACTATAGTAATAAAATTTTAGCTAACAAAGAAGAAGGCTTATTTTTTTCATTCAATATGCATGTATATACATAAACACACATATTAAGGTTCCTCTATTCAATATAAACTTCAATCTCCTAGTGTATCATGTTTGGAAAAGCAGAGGGACAATCAAAGAGAGAAAGACCATTAACCAGATGATTGGCACAGAGACGGCTGCAACAGTGGGTTCAAGTACATCAGAAATTGCAAGGATGGTATAGGATAGGACAGGGTTCAGGTCTGTTCTTCACAGGGCCGCTATAAGTCATACTCGACTCAATAGCACCTAATAACAAGGGCCTGGTGGTCAGGAGCTGCACTGCCAATCTGAAGGCAGGTAGTTCCAACTTGATGATATAAAATAACAGTATCCTATGGAGAGCTCTTATGGCTTAATAGTAAGAACTTGTGCTGCCAACTCAAAGGCACATGGTTCAAATCCACCAGTCGCTCCTTGGAAGAAAGATGGACAAACTCCTGCTCCCATGTGATTTACGGCCTCTCAAAATGTGCTAGAGGATCAGCTGTAAGTACAACAGTATCACCTAATATATCAACTAAAGGAAATCTGGTTCAATAGCCTACAAAAAAACAAGAGGCCAGAAAATTCACAAGCAGCTGAAATCACCCTGTATCCTAAAATGAATTAGGGGATCACAAGAGAACTTTGCTCCATAGAAACCACTGTAAATACTCCCATTAAGAGTCTCACCAGTAACTTCAGAGATAAATTCTTGGGACCAATCAGTCTCATTATAATCTTGAGTTACATCCACTGTATCTCCAGCTGAGAGAAACTCCTGGGCCCAGTTTTCAGACAAGGCCAAGTCTGCCACACCGGGGGCTTAAAAGAGAAAGAAAAGATATATTCATCATTCCATCAAGCCTAAGGAACACTGAGTGCACATTAAAACAATATGTTCCTTTTGTTTCCTTCTGCCATCAGCATTCAAATTTGAAACTATGTTCCACAATATCATTAACAGTCAGATTTGAAACTCCATTGGCCCTGCCTACACAGAAAACAGCAACCACCAGACTCTCCTCTCACCTCTCTGTGGAGCCTGACGGAAGCTGGATTGTTCAATCTCCTGCATTTCTGCCAGGAGGTCATCCATTTTGAAGGTCTGAGGGGCACGAGAGACAAGTGGTGCATTCTGGTCATGCAGGAACTCAGCCACCAGCTGTCAGAAAAAAAGACAGTGAGATGAACCCACAGGTCTGCAAGTCTCAGCAAGAGCCAGGATCCATTGGGTAAGGGATACTGGTGTCAGATACAATGAAGAGTAACACACAAACCAGAGACAATAAAGACTGAAAATGAAAGTGGGAGACTTAGCTTGCTTTCCACAGGTTTAAAAACTCTGAAAATATGTTAAAAACAAACAAGCAGGAGAGCGAGCTAAAGTAAATCTCATTTGGTTAGGAAAGTCCAAAGATTGAAACACAGGTGAGCCAAACTTAAAGGTAAAGAACACAGTTTTAGTTGCTATTGAATCAATGCTGATTAATGTCAACCCATGCATGCAGAGAAAAACTATCCCATACACTGAGTGCTCAAGAATGGGACCTTCTGGGAATCAGTCAGCCAGTCTTTTCGTCCAAGAAAGCTCTGGTTGGGTTCAAACCACTAACCCAGCACTTTATAGCAGAAAAGAGACTGATCTACTTACCTCATCTTCAGAGGCTATTCCCAAAGGCTTAGAGACCTAAGATAGAAAAGAAACACAAGGGGTAAAAAAAAAAAAAAAGATGAAGTAAATTACAAATTCGTTCAAATCCCAGCTCTACCATTTACTAGTTACACACATTTAGGCCTCAGTAAAGCTACTATTTAATAGTTTATACACCTTCAGACCAGTTTATCTATAAAATTGTTGCCTTGATGTTTGTAAAGATGCACAGTGTTTACTATAATGTTTAGCAAACACTAATTAAGTCGCTGTTATTGTCATATGAGGTCAAGTTGGAACCTACTCCTAGCTGACCGCCAGCAGATTTCCATAGGCAGTAAATTGCACAGGAAGAGATTACACTTTCTGCAACAGAGCAACTGGTGGATTTGAACTGTATGACTTCAGGTTGTCAGAGCAATTCCTTACCACTAGGTGACTAGAGTTCCCTATTCATTAAGTAATATTTCAACACAATAAAACAAGCAGCTAGGCAGAAGATTTATACAGCTGGGCCTTCCATCACAGCCCACCACTTGTGCTTTCCACTCACCGCCTCTGGCGTAGGGCCTCCTGGGGGCCAAGGGCCAGGCCTCAAGCCCTCCTGTCGCAAGGCTTTGTCCTGAGTGAAGTGACCAGCCAGCTTCATGAGTGGGTTGGCACCCCCACATTCCCCTTCCACTAGCTCCCGCATTGCCATGGTGACTGCCAGCTCTCTGGTGGAAACAGAAGGTTTGGGACTGAGGTCCTGAAGACAGACCCTTCCCCAACACACAACTCAGCTCTTATTGCAGAGGTGGCTCCACGAGGGGCCAGCTGCTAGTCACCAGCCACCCTCCACCCCTGTGCCTTTTACTGTGTGGCTCCCCCACCTCTGTCTGGAGTCCGAGGGGAACTGGGACCTCTCTGATGCCCCCTCAAAGACCACAGCCTTCAGCCTAGACTTCTTCTGGGGCCTCTATGTCATCAGTCTCGGCCTGCAGGACCCGCTCTGCAGCCGTCCTCCCAAGAAGGGTCTGGGTCTCAGGGACTACAGGGGACGCTTGCCCTCGTGGACTGGACGGGGCACTGGCCGACACATGCAGAGAACGCCTGATGATGAGTTCCTGTTCTCCGCAGTCTAGTCCTCTGGTGAACACTATGAGGAGCCATCCCTTCCTCCTAGGTCACCTGGGTCCCTCTCTCTGCTAGACCAGGTCCGGCCCACCCCTCCCGCGCTCCCAGGCACCCTGTCTCCCCGGAACCTGGCCCACGAGGACACAGCAAAGGTGGGGGAGCTGCGGTCCGCCCCGCGAGCCCCCGGGGCCATGCGCTCACCGCCGCGCGTCGCGCAGCACGACCTGCCGGGCACCTGATGCGGACCGGCGGGGGAGGGGTGGGGAGGAGGCCTGGAGTCAGGGGGCGGGGCTCGGCCTTAAAGGGGCCGGGACCCAGCGCCGCTCCAGGCTCGCCGCAAGACGGAAGCTGCTAGGAGGGGCGAGGCCTTGAGGGGGCGACGCAACGTCGTGGGAGGAGCCATGAGTCTTAAAGGGGAAGGAATCCTTAAATGGAAAAAACATCTTGACGCGTTGGTTCTGGAAGTGGTTATAAGCGCAGCGGACGAGAACATTTATTTATGACATTTATTGGATGGAAGGCTCAAAGAAGAATGGAGCTAAAGGAGCTTCTCGAATTTTGGAAGAAAATCAAGGACCCAAATTGCAGGGCTCATCTCATCTCTTCCTGGCCCAAGGAGATTCCCGCCCTTTCTCAGCCTCAGTTTCCCTCTCTAAAATAGACCTGACCAGGCTTTCCAAACCCCAAAGCAGGTAAGAGATAAACAATGCGAAGACCCCTGGGGCAAGGATAGGGTGATCGAACCCGGGACCTTCTCCAGCCTCTCTAGGTTGGTGCGTATTCCTTATTCCCCGTTGAGTATTAGCGTCACGGTCTCCCTGGAGACAGTGGCCTGCAGCCGGTCCTTTTGCCAACTCTGTAGAATGAAGAAAATAGCACTGAGTTATGACAAAGTCCAAAGACTAAAATAGGGTCCGACGCATCAAGCTGGTAACAGGGTAGATGTAGAATGAGTCACTCCTCTCCTGATCACCTCCCCTGTGGTCAGAGTCACTGTGGTGGCCTTATTCCCACTCCTTCAGGTTGGGACAGCATCAGACTTGCTACAGAAATACTTCTAATGCCTCAGGCCTCACCATCTGCCAGGGAAATGCTCAGCTGTCAAACTTCAAGGTCAATGGGAAACAAACCCTGACATCTCCCACCTGGCTGTAAGATCAAAGAATTCCACATGCTCTAGTAGAAGGGCAGGGGGGTCCCTGGGCTGCTGGTGGATGAACAAGGACATGGTGGACCCAAATGGCCAAAATTCCCACCTGGGCCCAGCCCAGGGTGCATCTGAGGAAGCAGACAGCAGGTGCACTCTGGGCCAGGCATCTTTTCTGGCTGCCTTGCAGAGCTTAAGGTGGAGACCACAGGAGATCAGAGAGACTTGGCTGTGTAACTCAGCCCAGGGAAGGTAAAGAATCTGCTCTTGTCATGCCTCAGGGGAACAGAATGATAGGACAAACCTGAAGGTTGTACAAAAAATCTCTGCCATTTTACCATCTTTCAGAGGCCCAGATCCACTACTCTTTTCTCCTGTAGTATAAAACATACACACAAGAGCAGAGTATAATACCTAATACTGACTGATAGCACCAAGGAAGAAGGAATGCCCCATGCAAAATATCTACTTTCAAAAAGAGATCCCTGGAGAGGGCACTTTTCCCCTGAGTACTACAAGTAGTTTGCACTTAATTACCCACAGATTGCTGTTTTGAACTCTCTTGTAGTGCTATGGAAGAAAGGCCTGGCAATCTGTGTCCATAAATATTACAGCCAAGGAAACCTTCTTATGAGACAGTTCTACTAAATAACACGTGGGGTCACCATGAGTCAGAACTCACTCCAGACCAGTGAATTTCACCCTTAAGTTTTTGGAGAAGACAAGGCTTAGTTGGAAACAAGAAATGTTAAGGCAAACACAGAGTGTCCTAATACCACTTATACCATACCACATGCATGACTTTCTAAAAACAGTAACTTACTATGTGCTCAATCTTGAAAGAATGATGATAATTGTTGTTGTTGTTATGTGCCATCGAGTAGCTTGCAACTCATAGCGACCCTATGTACAACAGCTCTAAACTCTGCTCTGTCCTGTGCCAATCTCATTGCCTCCTACCCACTCATCCCAATTGCCCCAGTCACCGAATCAATCCATCTCCCAGGGGGACTTCCTCTCCTGCGCCTGCCCTCCACCCCCCCAAGCATGATGTCCCTCTAAGGACCAGTCTCTCCTTACAATATGATTAAAGTATGTCAGACAAAGCCTCAGAATCCTTCCCTCCAAGGAGCAGCCCAGTTTAACCCTCTCCAGGATTAATCTGTTTGTTCTCTTAGCAGTCCATGGCACCTTCAGCACTCTTCTCCAACACCAAAGCTCCAAAGCATCAATTCTCCTTCTATCCTCCCTGGTCATTGTTCATCTCTCTGATGCATAACAAGTGATTGCAAAGACCATGGCCTGTACCAGACGCACCTTTGTCTCCAGAGACACACCATTGCTTTTGAGTACTTTAGAGAGGTCCCTAACAGCGGATTTTCCCATGGCACTACGGCTTTTAATTTCCTGGCTGCTGGTGCCAAGAGTGTTGATTGTGGAGTCAAGCAAACTAAAGCTGTGAACAATCTCAATCTCTTCCTCATCCATCCTGATGCTGCCAGTTGGTCCAGTGGTGAGAATCTTTGTCTTCTTGGCATTGAGCCTCAATCCATATTGAAGGCAGCAGTCCCTGACCCTCAGCAGCAAGCACTTCAGGTCCTCCTCAATTTGAGCTAGCAGGGTTGTATCATCTGTATAACGCAGATTGTTTATGGATCTTCCACCAATACTGATGGCACATTTCTCCTCATAGAGCTTAGCTGATGATAATTATAACTTAATAATTGAGTGCTTATTAACCTAACCCAGGCACTGTACTATACATTTCATAAGCATTAATACTTTCAGTCTTCACAATATATTTATGAAAATAGTTGTTACTAACCCCATTTTACAGATAAGTCTTCTCTTAAAACTACATAACTAAGATGTCAGAAGGGACCTCTGGTGGCCTCATGCTACCAACCCAAAGACACAAAGTTTCAATACAATTACTCTTGAATTCACATTCCATTAGTTCAAATTTAACAGATTAGGTTTACCTAAAGCATTTTAAACACTTCAGTTGCATTTAAAAAGTGTCACACACTATCTTAATTATTTTTCAAATATTAAACTGCATTTAATAGCAATGATTAAATCCAGACTGAGTTTAGAAGGGGTCGTGGTACTAGGGATATTGTAGCTGATGTTAGATGGATCTTAACTGAAAGCAGAGAATACCAGAAGAATGTCTATCTGTGTTTCATTGATTATGCAAAGGCATTTGACTGTGTGGATCATAACAAACTGTGGCTGACTCTGAGAAGAATGGGTATCCCAGAACATTTAATCATGCTAATGCGAAACCTATACTTGGCCCAAGAGGCAGCCGTCAGAACAGAGCAGGGCAACACTGCATGGTTCAAAATTAGGAAAGGTGTACGTCAGGGATGTGTCCTATCTCCATACCTTTTCAACCTGTATGCAGAGCAGATTATTCGAGAGGCTGGGCTCTATGAGGAGAAGCGTGGTGTTAGGATTGGTGGATGATCTATCAACAATCTACGCAATGCACATGACACAACCTTGCTCGCTGAAACTGAGGAGGACCTCATGCACTTACTGCAGAGGGTCAAGGACTCCAGCCTTCAATATGGACTGAGGCTCAATGTCAAGAAGACAAAAATTCTCACCACTGGACCAATCAGCAGCATCAGGATGGATGGCGAAGAGATTGAGATTGTTCACAGCTTTAGTTTGCTCGGCTCCACAGTCAACACTCTTGGCACCAGTAGCCAGGAAATCAAAAAACGTATTGCGATGGGAAAGTCTGCGGTTAGGGACCTCTCCAAAATACTCAAGAGCAAGAGTGTCTCTCTGGAGACTAAGGTCCGCCTGATACAGGCCATGGTTTTTGCAATCACTTGTTATGCATCAGAGAGTTGGACAATGACTAGGGAGGATAGAAGGAGAATTGACGCCTTTGAGCTGTGGTGCTGGAGAAGAGTACTGAATGTACCATGGACTGCCAAGAAAACAAACAGATTCATCCTAGAGAGGATTAAACCAGGCTCTTCCTTGGAGGCAAGGATTCTGGGGCTTCGTCTGACATACTTTGGGCATGTTGTAAAGAGAGACAGGTCTTTAGAGAGGGACATCATGCTGGGTAGAGTAGAGGGACAGTGCAGGAGGGGAAGACCCTCTATGAGGTGGATTGATTCAGTGACTGGAGTAATCGGGATGGGTGTGTCAGAGGCAATGAGATTGACACAGGATAGAGCACGGTTTAGGGCTGTTGTACATAGGGTAGCTATGAGTCGCAAAGGACTCGACGGCACATAACAACAACAATAACAAGAACATCCCATTTCACAGACAAGTTAGAGTGGCACAGAGGAATTACGTGACTTGTCAAAAATTGCACAGTTTTTTTAAAGCAGCAAAGCTGGGTCTTGAACCTACGCCAATCAATATATTTTGTTAGTAAAGAGTCAAATAATTAAGATTTGCAAGCTATATGAGCTCTGTCACAGCTACTCAACATGTCATTATAGTACAAAAAAAGCTATAGAGAATATGCAAAAGAATAAATATTACAGTATTCCAGTAAAACTTTATTTATGGACACTGAAATTTCAAGTTCAGGAGGGGTGGGCAGGGAGGAAAGTGTACAACAATAAATGAATGGAAATCCGAAGTCTCTGTAAACGTTCATTAAAATAAATTCTAAAAAATCAAAAAAGAAATTTCAAATTCATGTGACTCCACATATTACAAACTATTCTTTGAATATTTTTTCAACCACTTAAAACTGTCAAAATTTTCATAGTTTACAGACCATAAGAAATAGAGGACAGAGGAAGAAAATAAAGATCAAAGCATAAATAAATTAAATAACAAGAAAGAATAAAATTGGAAGTTGGTTCTTTAAAAGGATCAATAAAATTTGGCAAACATTTAGCTAGACTGACAAAATATACAAATAACTAAAATAAAAAATCAAAGAGATTGCACTACAATTGACCCCAAAAAATAATTATGACAGAATATTATGAACAACTCTGTAGCAATAAACTGGATACCCTAGATAAAATGAAAAACTTCTTACGCACATAACCTACCCAAATTGACTCAAGAAGCAATTTTTGTTGTTCTTCAGTGCCTTGAGTCAACGATGACTCATAGCAAACCT